TTTCTTTTTTTTTTTTTTTAAACGTATCAAGTTTGAATTCAACAAAAATGTTATGGTTTTCAGCCGTATCTAAACTTCAAAAAGAAAAAAAAAGTGAAAAATAAACTGACAATGTATATTTTTAGTAATTATAAATAAAAATTTTAGTAAATATATTTTAGGAATTATAAATTTTTTTTTGTTTTACCTAATTAAATTTTACCTATTTATGATATGCAAATTTTTTTAGTTTGACATTATAGATGAGACGTGTTATTTGAAATGATTTTTTTTTTTTAATTTTTTATAATTTGTTCATCTATTCAAGGATGTAATAAGATCAATAAAAATATAAACAAAAAAAAAAGTTGCAAAAGAAATGATATGATCTTATAAATGGATAGTATTATTGATAGCCATTGTAGTTTCACTGATATCAGATGCATTGTTATCAATTCGAATCATTGATACATCAGGTAATACTACCGAATGCACCAATGATGATCTCCGTAAATGATCAGTTTGTTGTGGTTTGATCGAAGATTGCCAACGCTAAATTTATTTTTAATGAAATTAATTATAATGTTTAGATGTTAAATTTTAATAAATTTATTTAAAGGAGAATATTTAAATGTAAATATTATAGATGAAATTTTAAGTTAGAAAATATTGTTGAAATTTGGGCAATTGCCAAAATTTAATGTTAACCTTAAAATTATTTAACCTGTAAAATATAGTTCGAAATTTCAATTTACAATTTAAAAAATGTATTATTTGCTGTGATAAATTGATCGTATCTTTTGGATGAAAGAAAAAAAAACAAAAAGAAAGAATTAATCAAAAAATAGAAGTGTTTTTAGAAGAGAAAAATAGAAAAGTTCAAAAAATAGAAAAGTTTATTTTACTTCTAACTTTTACAGGAATATATTTTTTCACCTCAAATTATTTTCCGTCTTAGATAAGTTTAATTAATTATGAAAAATATTTTGTTTTACTTTAATCTTTCATCCATATATTTTGTCATATTTTCAAGTAACATTACTTTTAGTAATATTCTCAAACATTTTGTAAATTATCCATTTTGATAATTTTCTTTTTTTTCTTTTTAATTTTATTTTAAATTTTTAATAAAAAAAATATGCAAAAATCTTTGAAAATTTTAACTTCTTTCAATGTTCCTTTAGTAGTACATAGATAATAAATGGCAAAAATTGGAATGCTAAGAATTGATGTTAAACGTAGAAACCATCCAAGATAAACAGTCCATTGTGGATATGTATATGATCCAATGGTCATCGGTTCCAATGATGTTTTATAAATGGTCAACAAGAATATTGTCTAAAAAAAAAAAAAAAAAAAACGAGAGAGAGGAAGAGAGAAAAAATGTTATTTTTAAATTCCATTAATTCTTTTCATATTACAATTATTGATAATAAGGATTTAACAATAATAATAACTGTTTATTAAAATTACATACAAAAATCTAAATGTCTAATTTTTTTCTGGTGATTTAAAAAAAAAAAAAGAATTACAGTAATAATGATAGGACAACATGTCCAACAAAATCGCCAATATAATCCTGGATAAAATCCAAGCATTGTTTGAATATCTTTGCTAAATTGTCGTATTCCATAAAACCAACAAACAGCAACCATTTCACACATTACAATAAATAATACTGATAATGATACACCATATTCATCAAGGAATGATATGACATATTTACCACCCTAAAATAAAAACTATTTGATATCTTATATTATTTTATTCAAATAATTTATGAAAAAAAAAAAAGGTTTATATATATAAATATTGACAAAAAATTTTTTTTTAAATTGACAAAAATAATAAAAAATCAATCGATATTGCTATATTTAAGTATTAGCATCATAATTCGTTACAATTATTATATGAAATATTCATAATTTTTTTTTTTTATTATTATAATAAAGACTATTTATACTTTATTAATTAAATAAATAATAGCAAAAAAAAAAGAAAAAAAAAAACTGGATAATGATAATGCTTACATAAGTAACGGTTGGTAGACTACCAAAATAATAGGCAACAATTACGATACCTACAAATATTTCACGTTTTCGTGCTAACACATCCGGATATTCATCACAAAATCCCGTTATCAATGCTTCAATTCCACTGAACT